GGCGCCCGGCAGTGGAGGTTTTGAACGCCCGTAAAACTGGCCCCGGAAGCCACTCGGCCACGGGCACAGCACCGCCAGCGCTGGGGCTGCCCTGCTCCCGATGGCCGGCAGATGGGCCCTCATCCTTTGGGGCGATGGGGCGGGAGGCACAGCTGTCTGAGTCACGGTCCCCGACTCGTCAGTTGCACTTGAAGAAAAACTTCCTCCGGTCTTGCTGAGAATACACTCAGTGCTCACCTGTACACCACACCCAAACTCAAGCAATACTGGCAGGCGACGTTTATTATTATTTATTTATTTATTTATTAGGATAATATTTTATTTAGAATACGTACGACTGACCCCAGTCCTGGAGGAATCTAGGCAGCATACAACCACAACTGGATCAGAAACAAATAGAAGCTCTGTCACAATAAAAATGCTATCAGAACCAAAACCGAATTCAAGGCAAGTGCCAGTCAGCTGGGGCCAAAGACTCTTGCTGGACAACTCTGAGTTGTGTCTGAAACATCGGCAAGGCGGGGAGTGTCCTTCCCTGGCTTCATTTCTTTACCGGTTATTGACCTCTTCAGAGCAGGCCAAAGACCCGCATCCAGTTCAGCACCTGGTACTGTCCTGCCCCCCAGGCCGAGACTTAAATGGGACCCCCCGCCCCGCAAGGAGCAGGGCCTGAGCACAGCAGGACCTCTCCCGCCTTGTGTCCCCCAGGAGCAGGCACTGACTGACTGGGGGGCGTCTAGTCCCAGGACGGGGGGTGTCAATAGCCATCCTGACCTCGCTTTGTCCTCCATGAACTGGTGCTTTAGGTGGAGAGCCTGGGGGCTTCCCAGCCGCCCCGGCCGCCATAGGCGATCCGCCAGGCCGCTGAGAAGAGCCACCAGAGAGGGGCCGCGCTGCCTTTCCCCCCTCGCAGCCCAGCCCAGCCCAGCCCAGCCCAGCCCAGCCCAGCCCAGCCCACGGAGCAGTTTCCTCAGGCCGGCTGCCTTCCACACCCAGAGCCCTTCCTTCTATGGGAGAGGCTCCCCGGGGAGCTGCGTGGCCGGGCAGCACGGGAGGCTCCCCTCGGGAAGCGAAGAGGCAAGGAACGAGGAGACAGGAAGGGCTCCAAGCTGGAGGAGAGGGCCGCCTGGTCGGACAACGCCAGGGGACAAATGCCATCTCTGTCGCAAGCAGCCGGGAAAGAGGAGCCCTGCCGGGCAAGGCTCCCCGCCGGGCCGCTTCTCCTCTCCGTCAGAGGAAGGGAGAGGGAGGGGGGCTGGCTTCGGGAAGAAGCCCTTTTCTGGAGGCGTCCTAGGCCTGGGCTCCCCGGCCTCTTTTCCAAGAGAGGCTGCTCAGAAGGGGCTCCCGGGGCAGCAACGCAACTGGTCAACCAAGATGGAGGCAGCGGGTGACAAGGCCCACACGCAGTCCACTGCCGGCTTCACCTTCCCCTTCTACCTGGCCGCCCCTCTGGGAGCTCAGGCCTCCT